TTTTACAATGGAAAGATATGGCAGTTAACACCTTAACAAACTTAATATTACTATTTGTGGAACAACCTGTCATTAAGTGTCTTATATGCCGCCTAATTTGATTAGGAGGATATAGTGTAGGATGAATACATGATAGTACCTAGAAATTATTCCTGCAAAAAACACTTAATTTAAATCTAATCCCATCTCTGGACCCAGCTTCCAGTTTACAGGAAATACAGAGAATGGAGGAACAAATTAAATGAAACCACAAGAAACAGACAAAATTCAGAATCTGGGACAATCTACAAAACAAGTGACCTAAATTAAACCTCACCAATTATTAAAACAAAATATGTTAAAATTTATCTATCAAATTGATAACATCAAAAATTAATACAATTTTTGGGGGCAGGACAATCTGGTAACATGTAACAGTTTTTTAAATGTTTATATACTTTACCCAGCAATTCCACTTCTAGGAATTCATCCTATAGAAATGAGTTGTACATAAACACTTATTGACCAGAATGTTCACTGCAGCATTACTAATGAAAATGGATGTAATCTAATTTACCAAGATAAAATAATTATACAATAAAATACTTTGTAATCATTGAAAATCTTAATTTCAAATATTTAACATGAAAAGGTCCTTAAAATACATTAAGTACAAAGAAAGCAGATTATAAACTATTAGTATGTAATTTCCCTGTATATGTATATTCTACTTTACAGGAAAGATAATTATCAAAATGTTAATTTTGCTATTTCTAGGTGGCAAAATGGATTTATAGGTGATTTTAAGTTTTTTTCTTTGTAGGAGAGAGAATCATTATTTCTAATGTCTGAAAGAATAAAAAATGGGCCGGGTGCTGTGGCTCACGCCCGTAATCTCAACACTTTGGGAGATCAAGGTAGGTGTATCACTTGAGGCCAGGAGTTTGAGATTAGCCTGGCCAAAATGGTGAAACTCTGTCTCCAATAAAAATACAAAAATTAGCTGGGCATGGTGGCCCACGCCTGTTGTCTCAGCTACTCAGGAGGCTGAGGCAGGACAATCACTTGAACCCAGGAGGGAGAGATGGCAGTAAGCTGAGATCAAGCACTGCACTCCAGTCTGGGCAACAGAGAGAGACTCAGTAACCCCCCACCCCCAAAAAAAAGACTAAAAAATGAAAAGAGAGAACAAAGTTAATTTTCATGATGCTAGACGGCAGAACTAGGAACTACCAATAGAAATTACAGGGAAGCCACATTTAACTCAAGGTAAGGAATAACTTTCTAACAACTAGAATTTTCTAAGCAATGAATAATCTGCCTTATGAGGTAATATGTTTTGCATTATTAGAACTCTAAGCAAAGGCTAAGTGGTCACTTGGCAAAGATACACAGTAGAGATTTATGCATTAGGAGATTAAAGAGAAGCTTTTAATGGTCCTTTTGTACTTTAAGTACTTATAATTTCTTTTTTTTTTTTTTGAGACGGAGTTTCACTCTTGTTGCCCAGGCTGGAGTACAATGGCACAATCTTGGCTCACCGCAAACTCCGCCTCCTGGGTTCAAGCAATTCTCCCGCCTCAGCCTCCCGAGTAGCCGGGATTACAGGCATGTGCCACCACGCCTGGCTAATTTTGTATTGTTAGTAGAGACAGGCTTTCTGCATGTTGGTCAGACTGTACCTGAACTCTCAACCTCAGGTGACACACCAGCCTCGGCCTCCCAAAGTGCTAGGATTACAGGCGTGAACCACCACGCCCAGCCAGTACTTATAATTTCATATAAAGTTTTCCATTTGCAGGGATACCAGAAAGGAAGTGCTTGGTTATTTGCTTTTATAATAAAAGCCCACGTGATACCAAAGAGATTATACTTACATTAGAATAATAGAGTTGAAGGATGATTTACTTTGTTACATTCTACATCAATTTAATATACACACTATTGATAAAGTGAAAGCAGAAAACTAACCCAATGGACAGGATTCAAACTGAACCTGGAAGAACTACATTTGAAATGAATCTACTCCTCACTAATTTCTCTGTGTCTAGTAAGAACCGGAACAATTACACTTTTTCAAGGTTTAATGCAATAAACATTTCAAAAAGGAGGAGGATAAGCTCTGGCTGCACTATAATTCACACACAAATGAAGGAAAAGTGAAGAATATACCACCCACCCCCTGCAATATGATATATAAAAATCTTGGCCGGGCGCGGTGGCTCACGCCTGTAATCCCAGCACTTTGGGAGGCCGAGGTGGATGGATCACGAGGTCAAGAGATCGAGACCATCCTGGTCAACATGGTGAAACCCTGTCTCTACTTAAAATACAAAAAATCAGCTGGGCATGGTGGCACGTGCCTGTAATCCCAGCTACTCAGGAGGCTGGGGCAGGAGAATTGCCTGAATCCAGGAGATGGAGGTTGCGATGAGCCGAGATCGCGCCATTGCACTCCAGCCTGGGTAACAAAAGCGAAACTCCGTCTCAAAAAAAAAAAAATCTTATGATTTTGGATGTAGGAATACTGGGCAATGGGAAGTGACAGAAAAACTTAACATTATACTGGGTTCCTGGAAGGCAGAAGGAAGTGTCAGAGGTCTTTGAAATTTTTTAGAGTAATTGTGATTTTAAAAATAAAAGATACACTTAAAAAAAACAAACAACTTTTTAATTATGGAAATTTTCAAATATACACAAAAGTAGAAAGCGTAATCACCACTCACCTTCATTTCTCAACATTTTTATTGTGATAACCTACCCTTTGTTAGCCTAACTGACTCTCTTTCTGAGAGCTGTTCGGACTTCATGTTAGCTTCTTGAGCTGGACAGACTCCATGTTAGTTTTTTCACTTGCTCTCCTTTTTCTCCCCCTTTCCCCTGAGCATGTAGTCAGGTTAAGCTGACTCCAAGCAGACCCAGGAATGCATTTACCGATAAGATACCAAGTCAAGCGGTACCAGCAGCCCTTGGGAACGCAGATGTTGTTAAGTACCAAGATCCCCAGTCTCTATAAGTTCTATGTCTTTTTTAACAGCTTAAGCCCCTGCACCTGGTACTGTTTACTTCTTATGTAAACTAGTTTATCTTTTAACTTTTTGCTTGCTCTGCTTCTGTAAAAAATTGCTTCAGCTAGGTTCCCCCTCCCTTTTCAAACTGGGGTATAAAAAACCACATAACTCTTTCTTCGGGGCCTAGAGAATTTTCTTTAAATGCTCCAAATGAGAGAGAAAATGTAACTGGATATCATCAGTGTCAACTGCCTAGGATATAAAAAAAGGAGTCAACTCACACAGTGAAAAGCAATGACATGGCTAGGCCTCTTCCATAGAGCTCGATATAGACGTATTTCTTTTAAATTTGCCTCTCCAATGATGGAGGGGAGGGGAGGGGTAGGGAGGAGAGGTTTCTCTACTTCTACCGTACCTAAAACAATTTAAGCAAAGGGATCTCACAAGCACAGGGCTAAGAAATCAGTATGAATAATATTTGGTTGCTTATGAAATACTGAATAAAAAAATAAAAGGATAGAGGATAAAAAAATTCTTCTGACTGGTGTATCAGAGTTCTAAACCTTTCACTCATAGTGTTACAAAACAAACAAGAAAAAACTACTAAATGATTCAGAATTTGTTAAATAAAAGAGTCTCCTCTCCTCTGCAAAAGCACCAAAAGTTCTCCTAAAACCCTCCCTAGTGATTTACAATAGATCTGAGTAATTAAACTAATTATCTTCTCTGTGGAGCCCACCTAGGGTATCCTCCTTCCCCATCTTCCACTTTTCTCAAACACAAGCAGAAGGGCTCCTTCCCTGCTCCTACTGTGCTTTATATTTAATTCTATTAGAGCATTAATCAATACTTCAGTGTAATTATCTTCTTTTCCGGACTATGAATTCCCAGGGCGATAAGACCCTATCTTACTCCTCTTTACATTTCCAATTCCTTATCTTTAAACCTACCACCACTGAAATGAAAAGTTTTCTCAATGAATAGAGATGACAGAATATGGAGTTATTTTTTAATTTTTTTTGAGACAGTCTCACTCTGTCACCCATGTTGGAGTGTGGTGGCATAATCTTGGCTCACCGCAACCTCTGCCTCCTGGACTCAAGTGATTGTTGTGCTTCAGCCACCCAAGTAGCTGGGTTATAGGCATATACCACCACTCCAGGCTAATTTTTTTTTTCCCTGAAAGAATATGATTTGACTAATTTTTATAGTTTTAGTAGAGATAGAATTTTGCCATGCTGGCCAGGCTGGTCTTAAACTCCTGGCCTCAAATGACCTGCCCGCCTCTGCCTCCAAAAGTGCTGAGATTACAGGCATGAGCCACCATGCCCGGCCTGGAGTGATCTTTATAAGAGTATAAAACCTCTCTAACCTTTTCATCTTCAGTTCTTCCCATAAGTCTCCACTTCAGGAGTTTTCCTATCAGCCAATAGTTCAGGCTGAATAACATGGACTGTAGTCTCTTGAGAACTGGAGAAAGAATGTAGTCACTTTGGTTTGCAATATCTTCTAATGAAGTGAGGGGAATACAACTTGAATGATCTGGAAAGTAGTTAAACCTTTCAAGAGCTTTTATTCAGAAGCCAAAATGCAGAACAGTGTTTGAAATGCCTGCTTTTACATTGAAATGCTGAAGGTAACAGGGAAAATAAAACATTTCAAAAACCAATAACTAATAAGCAGCATCTGGTTGTCCACTTCTACTATTTTTCAGACAAAAATTCCCTAGCAAAAATGTACAGGTCTGGGTTAAAGCCTCAACCACGAGGGAGGCACCTTTCATGTACTGTTTTAAGTGTGCTTAGATTCCTCTCTAATACTAGTTAACCAAACCACTTTGAGAATTATCTGGTTAGGCAATCCCTTGAAGTGCAAATCTTTCGGTAAGGAAGTAATCTTTCTCAAGAATTTAAGAAAATTCTAAATAATCTCCCAGTTTAAGCTATGTTACACTGGAAAGAAAAAGTCACATCACATGCTTTATATGCCTTTCTTTGGTTACCATGTTACCTTGGTTAGAGTCCTCTGGGTCTTCTATATGAGCAATGACACTCCTGAGATAAATCTCCTTCTGCTGTTCTAGATTTGACTGTGAAAACGTCGGAACATTAGTCCTTGAATGAAGCAAACCCGAAAAAAGAAAAACAGCCCATTAGAACCAGGAACGTAGACAGAAAATTCCCTTTATGATCCAGGGGCAGAAGATAGTATTAGTCACATAATATAAAGCTAAAATGGAGTATGGAGTCAAGAGAAAAAGAAAGAGAAGCTGGGTGTGGTGGCTCCTGTCTGTAATCCCAGCACTTTGGCAGGATTGCTTGAGGCCAGGAATTTGAGACCAGCTAGGGCAACATAGTGGGACCCAAGAAATTTTTTTTTTTTTTTTTTTCTGAGACAGAGTCTTTCTCTGCCATCCAGGCTTGAGTGTAGAGCCGTGATCTCAGCTGGCTACAACCTCTGCCTCCCAGGTTCAAGCAATTCTCCTGCCTCAGCCTCCTGAGTAGCTAGTACTACATGTGCATGCCACCACACCCAGCTAATTTTTATATTTTTAGTAGAGACTGGGTTTCACCATGTTGGCCAGGATGGTCTCGATCACTTGACCTCATGATTTGCCCGCCTCAGCCTCCCAAAGTGCTGGGATTACAGGTGTGAGCCACCATGCCCAGCCTAATTAAATTTTTTAAGCAAAGTAAATATAATAAGTATATAATCAAAATAATTTTTAAAAATCTCACTGTAGGCCGGGCGCGGTGGCTCAAGCCTGTAATCCCAGCACTTTGGGAGGCCGAGGCGGGTGGATCACAAGGTCAAGAGATCGAGACCATCCTGGTCAACATGGTGAAACCCTGTCTCTACT